GATTGAAACCAGCCGAAACTCTTTGAAACAGCGAACAGAGTCGAACAGACAGCAACTAGAAGAAGAAAAGATAGGAAATTACCTTGGAAATGGCGGCTGGAAATCCTATATGAAAAGACAAAGGGAAACGAAGACCTTTTGCCAAATGCAAAGTATGTATCAAGAAGAAGAAGATGAGTTTATAAGGAAAGGATATGAAAAGACAAAAAAAAAAAAAAAAAGTATCTAACACATAATAAATGCAACTCTAATCGAAACAGTGACACATGGCAACCTTTGAGAAACTTTGGAAATTTAAACCTTTTTAAATCCCCACCTAAACGAATCCTAACAAAAATGATAGGGTCTCTCTTTATTCGGCACGACTTCTAAGGAGTTTTAGAATAAATTACCCAATTTGGCTATCCACCCAGCTCTGCCTGACGATTAATAAGGAAGACAACAAAACCACCCTCCATTCGGTTTTCGCTCCTTCCCAAACAAGTGTGGCCGAGCAGAGACATTTAGGTCTATTTAATCTTGTATAGATCATTTGATATTATCTCAAAGCCGCAACAATTGGCTCGGCTCTGCCCCACCAAGCATGACCGATTGTTCCCGCCATCGTTAAATCATGCGCTATGGTGTTGCTTCTTCACGCTTTTCGGCCCCACAAGCATCATTTGATCTAGGATGAATATGCCTCAAACACCCCAACCGGTCTGTTCAAATACCAGCAATCTTGTTCGGCTATCCATCCCCATCCAGCATCGTGAGCCAAGCCAAGTGGTCTCATACGAATCACATGAGTCAAGTCGAACGAGTTACGTCTCTATGACAATAACAAGCACTTCGGATCAAACCCTCTCTGAGAGGATAGCGACTTATTCACATTACGCCTGCGAGCAAATGAATCTAGTCTCTAATCTAAATACCCTTTAACTTAGAGAATTTGGGACAAACTGTATGGGCCAAAAATTGTATTGGACCTGACGAGGCCTAATAACAAAATAAACGTGTTGCGACCCAAGGCCTTAGCCCAATTCTGGTTGAGCCCACACTTAAATCTACTTTCCGAACTACACTCTCTACGAGTGGGCTATCCTACAAATTAAGCTTGACTGGGTTCTGGCCCATTAGCCCGCAGTAGTCCGATAAACAGAGAATCAGAATCCAATTCTACTTCCTCTTGTAGTAAGACCTAGACTCTTGCTCAAATTGGTGAGCCTGGTCTGATAAAGGGGAGGGATCATATCTCTTCCTAGAGGAGAATTCCCCCATAAGATAGGACTCAAGATCCTCTTGGGATTCTAACCCTCTAGGTTCACTATATAAACAGAGGCAAACTCTCTCATAGGAGATCGCCTTTTAGCCCTAGCATTCCGCTCTCAAACCACAACATTATTCCGTCCCAAGCCTCTGCGATCTTCACTATTTTCCTCACTGGTCCATCAACCTGCCAGTGGCCCGCATCACTAGATTCAACCCCGCATTTGTGACCATAGATTTTACCGTCTACAAGAAGTTGTGGTGAAGAGTGAGTTGCTTAGCTAACTCAACCAGGGGGATCCATCCCATGAGTCGGCATTATGGCTACGTTGGGTTGTGTTTGCTACATGTGTTGAACTTGTTGCGTCTCCATCTCAGTGTTTTTCTTTTTGGTGTTGCAGAGCTAGCTAGTTTATGATAATGATATTTAATGAAGATTTGTAGGGTGAGAAGGTGTAGGAGTCGTTGACGACTTCAATAATAAGGGCCATGCAGATGCATTTAGGGGTCTTATTCATGAAGAGTCGCTGAAAGACTTCCCTAAGTAATTACAATAAAACTACACTTACAACTTTTTTATACAACCTTGAGATAACAGCTTGCGATTGGTCAGTTTGCATTTAAGCAAACAGGATCCACTATAAGCTGACCAATCGCGAGCTGCCACATCAAAATTGTATGAAAAAGTTGCAAGTGTAGTGCTACTCAAATAATTAATTCCTAATTGGGTTTGGGCTTAGGAAATGAGATCTTTGTAATATTAGGTTTTACTCTTTAAACCTAGTATATAAACTTATTTTTCTCTTGTATGAATGTCATAGTAAATCATAGGTCAAATTACATTTATTGTAATAAGAGAGGTAAGACAGTATTTCAATAATATTAACTCTACTAGACATAGCTTGTTAATTGGATGAATCATGATAAATTAAACCTATTTTTTATTTCTTTTTACTTGTGTGTGTTCACTGTTTTTTATTTCGTATTACTCTAAATTGTTTGATAAGAAAATGAAAGTTTGCTCTATATATATATATATATATAGTTATGAAGGGGACAAGTAAACGTGATCTAGTGAACTACGTACCCAGAGCACTGTAGGCAAGAGTCTTTGGCTTCGTTTGGTTCAAAATTTGGGGGTTTTGGAAAAAGTTTTTTGAAAAAAGTTGAATTGGGCGGGTATTACGATGTAGGATTTATAAATTAATAAAATACCCCCTATGTTTGTTGTTTTACAAAATACCCCCTATAATAAAACATTAAAAGTTAACAAAAACACCCCCAACATACCCTCAAATACCCCCAGCCGGCCACCACCACCGGAGGTGGCCGGAGTTGCCTTATCGACGCATGACTGGCTGGATCTTGCCGGTCATGCGCCGATATGGCCTTTTCCGGCCAGATCCACGATGGATCTGGCCAGCAAAGGCCAGATCTACGGCCAGATCTGGTCGTCAACAGTTAGATCTGGCCGTATTTGCTCTCAACGACGACCGTTTGTTGGCCGTCGTGACCGATTGTTACAACCAAAGATTTGGCCGTCAACGGCCAGATCTTTGGCCTTAGATCTGGCCTTTTCCGGCTAGATGCACCGTGGATCTGGCCGGAAAAGGCTAGATCGGCGCACTACCGTCCAGATTCAACCGGTAGTGCGCCATCCTACCAGATTCCGGCCATTTTCCGGCGGTGGTGGCCGGAATTTGACAAATGTGGATTGTTGGGGTGTTTTTGTAATTTAAAAAAATGTTTAGGGGTATTTAATTAAATTAACAAATTTAGAGGGTTTAAAAAAAATTGAATAGTATTGAAAGTAGTATTCTAAAAAATGAGAGTTTTTGGGTATTTTACTGTTTAACTTTTTTGGGAATACTAAAAGTAGTATTCCCAATTTTGAACCAAACGAAGCCTTTGTTTCTTTTCAGTTTTCAAAGAGTTTCAACTTTCATTCTCATGCACCACGTGGCTGTCCATATTGAAAGCAGTAGAAGTTTATAAGTTTAGGCCAGACAAATTATCTACCTCTCTGTCCACCTATCGAGAATGGAAGATTTTTGCATCTACGCCCATTAGCGACGTCAAACAATAATGAACATCGGAAATGTCAAAAGCAGCCTAAATAATAAGCCAATCAAATTATGTACATCTCCATCCAAGTATCTATCGGGAATGGAAGATAGCAGTTAATAGAATTTTGGCCTACCCATTAGAAACGTCGAACATTCAACGCTGGAAATGTCAAAATCAGCGTAAACAATAATCATAATAGAAACATACCATTTCACAGACTCCAACCAATAAAAATAAAAGAAAATGTGTTGTTTGTGTGAGAGGAAAATTTTTTAGTTTCAAACGAATAAAAAACGAGTGATCAAGGCTAAAAATTAACAAAGAAGTTGAGTTCACTTTCATAAGAATATTAGAGTGAGTTGTTGAATTTTGTTGCGATCAACACATTTGAAATGAATATTATTGAGTGTTAGAAAAGGTGAGACAACTAAATTAGAGAGAGAAAGACAACTCAACTATTATTAATACTTATGAAAAGAAAAATATTATTGTTTCTTTTCACTCCCTATGGTTAAGATTTTCTTTCAAATCACCCCCAACAAATTAAGAAAAATGATAAAAACAACTATAATCTATATCATTCTTACTCATGAATTAATAAAATAGTATTGTACTACAACATTCATCTAAAAGTCATGTATAAATCAGCATTCGGTTATACGGTACTAACAAAATCAAGCGTTAACTCTCATTTCTTATTGAATAAACCAATCAATACTTGTTATCGAAGATTTTTTTTTTGGATTCAATAAATTTCGTAAAAAATTTTGACATATTTCACTTTATTATATTATGAGAATAAATCCTACTTCTTCTGCTCTTGGGGTTTCCGCATTTGAAAAAAAAAAAAACCTGGGATGTACCACTCAAATCATTGGTCCAATAATATCATTAGATCTCGCCTTTACCTCCTGTCAAGATGCATAATATTTACAACGCTCTAATAGTTAATGGTTGGGATACTATCAATCAATCAATTAATATGACTTGCAAGGGAAATAATCGAGTTGCCAAAAAGAAAAAGAAAAAAAAATTAGTCCTGCAGAGAAAAATTCCTGATTCCGGTCAGACTAGGTGTTTTTAGTTTTTACTTGTGTATTTTTTGGATTTTGCGCCTATCACATTGTATCCGTAAGCTTGTTTGCTTTCTAAATGGTAAAAAGTTGATGGTGAACTTGTAACAACCAAATCGTGGTTAAAAAGGATGCTTTCCACAACTATTATCGTGCGTATGTGACCCACAACTGGGAACATATAAACTATAATGAAAACAAAAATGTAACTAGAGTTTGAACACTAATGAATTTTGTTCATTTAATTAGGTGAACTTTGGAATTCCAATGATGTACTTTGCATTGCATATTCCAACTCCAAGTACGACTCTATAAGCATTAATTAAGCTCTTCCTTAATTCTTTAATTGTTGATTCACTTTCGGTGTTTAGTCAGAAGACTTAAACATTGTACTGAATCTCGAAAAATGAGTATGACAGTGATAAATGAGTCTTTGAAGCCATGATCACATTTTCGTTTGTTCTCTACTTAAAACCGCACTGGCCATCAATTATTTCAACTAAAGGGTAACGAGAGAAATCATCCTCATCAAATTTCTTACCTACCATTATTCGTTTGCAGGAGGGCGCGTGGTGAGAAAAGGTTAAAACAATAGGCAAAACTTAATTCGGCTATTCTTAACGAACCCTTTAATTGATAGTTGCATACATACAAGAAGTGACGCTAATGTCACATTATAAAGCTAAAATTTTAATATTTCGCATAGCCAAAGCAAAGCATTTATTATCAGAAAATTAAGCAAAGCCACGTTAAATTGTTATTACATCTGGTTCTTCCATATTTGCGCCACTTTGGCAAGTGATTTAGTAGATGACCCTTCTTGGCCCAGAACAGTTGCAGCAGCATCCTTAAGTTCTCTCATCTTATTCCTTAACGATTTTCCTTCTTCTCCTTTAATTAGCCCCCTTGCATACTTCGCTATATCTTCTTTCCCAACTAATCCATTTTCATTCATTTTAACCCTCATTGCCACTTTCAGATCATCTGAGAGGAATACCGCATTCATCTTTTGTTCTGCATAGAGTGGCCATGCAATTATGGGCACGCCATGGACAATGCTCTCTAGGGTTGAGTTCCACCCACAATGACTCAAGAATCCTCCGGTTGAAACATGGCTCAGTACTTGAACCTGAGGAGCCCAAGATGGAACCACTAGACCCATCCCTTTGGTACTATCCAAGAACCCCTTTGGTAAGAAATAAAAAGGGTCCTCAATGCTTTGGACACTAAAATATGTAGCATTAGCAGCTTTCTCATGTGGACCTCTAACGACCCAGAGAAATCTTTGGCCACTCATTTCAAGTCCTGAGGCCAATTCATTTAATTGCTCTTGTGATAAAGTCCCGCCACTCCCAAAACAAACAAACAGTACTGACCCACTCGGCTGCTCATCTAGCCACTTCAAACAGCCTGAATTTTCATGTTCGGCCTCAATGATTAAAGCATTCTGTACCAGCGGTCCAACCGGATAAACCGGAGGACTAAAACCTGATCCATCACCCCCCATCAAAGCCTTAAAGGCCCCAGGTTCCAAATCCATAAAGCTGTTGACCATAATCCCAGCGGCCAAAGGGTACCGTTTAGCTATGCCCATAATCCATTTGTATGCCTCATTTTTCTTATCTTGAACCGGGTCCGCGAGATCACGCCCGTGTATTGGGACACAACCAGGAAATTGGACGGGTTCAGGCAAGTCCCTAAACTCGCAACTGAACTTCTCATCAAGTTCAGGCAAATGAAGGACCAAAGACAGTACCATGGCATTTGTAGGGAAAAAGATGAAGGGCAAAATACCGAATTCTTTGGCCACTTCCAGCGCATCCGCGCCAAAGAGATCAGCAACTAGCGCAACAAACTTCGTTGACTCAGTTAAGACCTTGAGGGTCTCTCGTAAGGCCGAGAGGGAGCGAACCAAGCTGAGTGTGATCCGAGTTTCGATTTTAACGTCCTCAGGAAGGTCCTCAAAGCTCGCAGGAGGAAGAAAGATTGAGGAAACAGAGTTGGGTAGAGCTTGAAGAACCTGTCTTTGGGGTTTCATGGGTGAGCCGTCAGTAGGAATAATGAAAGTGACAAGAAAGTTGTGGCTAAGAGCAAGTCGCTTAGCCAATTCAACAAGAGGGATTAAGTGACCCATCCCTGGAGTAGGCACTATGGCTACGTGGGGTTGTGTTTGTTGTGTGTGTTGCTGCGTCTCCATGGCAGCTTTTGTTATGTTGTAGCTGAGATGTGAAGAAAATGGGGTTATAATTTGGGAAGATATATAGAGTGAAAACAGAACGAATGTGGATTAATAGTAAGTCAAGCGAGGGACGACTTACTATAGAGTTTTAGTAATAGTTTATTCATAAAGAGTACCAGAACCAAAGACATCATCCAATCCAAATTAAGGACGAAGACTTATGCATGGACTTAAAGAGCAAGTTGCAGAACCTGTGTGATACACATGGGTTGCCTAACCAAAGGCTGCCGTAAGCATAAGTGTACAAAAAAAAATATGAAGGGGGGAAAGAAAACACATGAACTACCCAAATTTTGTTTCCCTGTGCAAGTTCTTACATTCATGGGCATGCCCTTGTGTAATTCAAACTTTATATCAGTTTATGCCACCTTCAAATTTTTTTTTCCTTTCTATAATTTTGTACTTATAAATAAGATTTGTTCTTAAGGTTTCCAATATTCTGAAGAAAGTACCTCTCACAACTGTTGAAGGAGATCATACATTCATACTAGAATAATATCAATAAGGCAGTGTTATTAGACCGATATCAAAACTGAAACTTACTATTAATGATACTGTAAGCTTCAATTAAAGTAAAATCTAATAGTTGATACCTTATCCTAATAGCAATATATATCCATTTTGCACAATTTTAAGGCCATGGTCACTTGCTTAAATTTGATGGGTAAGGGGATTCGAACCCTGAAAAATATATATCCATTTTGCACAGTTTTTGGGCCATAATCTAAACATGGGACCGTACACCTTAACTACACATTTCAACGCTCGTCCCACCATTTGAGCTATCCAGGGCAGATCCCATTTGCACAATAGAAAAGAGGGAAATGAAAAGTTATGCCGTGGGCCTCGTGGCATTGCTATTTTACTTGTAATGTGCATTCTGCACAGCATGTGCAACACGCAGAACTGTTCTGTAAAATCAAGAAGAAATTTCTCCGAGTGTGAATGTGTGATCTCTCCATCGAATGACTTATCGCTCTATCAGGTTCCCAGAGACAAACAATTAAAAGGTAAAGATTAGAAAAACAAATTTATATAAAGCTTTAGGCCTACATGTGTTTCCTAAGGATAAACTATGATTAATTCCAACACACTTTTATAGATTTAACTGCTGAGGCCCATCATGAACTTACCATACTAAGCACATGGGTAACCAAACTAATCCCAATTTTGATTATTTAAAATTTTCAATAGTAAATGAATTTGTAATTACTGAAGGCCAGCAAGATTCAAGTTCTTAAACACCATTGGGTGGCCAAAGTGGTTGAATAGAAACTCTTGGGATCCTGAGTTCGATTCACCTTGGTTGCTAATAGGGGTGACCATTAAAGGTTTACTCGATTGTTAACTTCAGGATCTCGAGTATTAGTTGAGATGCATACAAACTGGTCCGAACACTTCAGTCACCCAAAAAAAAGATTTAAGCTCCTCATTCATAATCTGTTCTGCAAAGTAGGAATTTTTTCTTTTAATTAACAGCTGCATCACTTTCCAGAAATGATGGCACTGGATTGTAACTTCGTGGAATAATTTGAACTTGAACTAGGCTTCTTATTGGTATAAAATTCAGATTATTTTTGTACTCCATACGAGTTCTTTCGCGTATCATCATATCTTTAAAAACCAAGGAAAAAATATAAGTAGAAGCTCACTAAGTATCTCATTCAGCATAAATTTCAGATCTAGAACTATCTTGGGGTTGAAGCCTTGTAGTAAATGTTTATCTGACAAAGGTAGCTGGCCTTCGATGTGATGAATAAATTAACCAGCTTTGGCTACTTGTAGATGTTATGAATCGATGGCGTTCTATATTTAACCAAGAACCATGGTCACCGCGTTTGCTAAGTGACATGGTGCATCAATCGTACCCACTTGAAATGAAATGAAATGACCAAGGACAAGGAGTTGGTGGTGAGCATTATAAATTCCAGAGTCCACTGTTTTGCAGTTAATGCAAATGTCCCTGTATTTTGTACATGGATTAAAGTGCTGCTGGCCCAAGTTTTCTTTTCAAAGCCTCGTGAAGTCCAGTTTCTTTAGTCTCGTTTTAATTAGCCTGGGATTAAAAAAATGCATCTTTATCTATCTCACCCACCTGTTATAAAAGAAAGAGATGCCATTAAAAAAGCGAAGGCCTTTTTGTTTTGGCGATATGGCAATTGGGTTCAGGGCTCATCCACAATCCATCGAATTTTTGTTAACAATATCTTAGTTTCAGTGCTGGCCTAAACTGTTCATGGTTTGTGGCTACCAGAAAGTCAATAAGAGTGGCGTCTAATCTCACCTAATTGGACAGGTGGAACCATTAATCAAGCTACGAGTCGTTCCGTTCTCGACAGGTAATTTAAAAAGTGTTCTTATCCTTTACAGAGAGTAATTATGAAGTAAAGTTATTCAAGGCCAAAGCTTCATGCCATAATATCTGCTGAGGCAAAAATTTGATTAAGACAACGAAACCAAAGCCGATACTGAAAGCTCCGTTTAACAAAACACACGAAAAGGCAATAAAAAACAAAAGTGTTGTGTGTCAGATAATGGTGTGAGCTCAGGATCAGAAACTCACAATATGACTGCCCATTTCTCAGTAGATTGGGCTCAGCAAAGATCCCATGTTTCCACCGGTCCGGCGTTGTAGTGTGACACTTTTTAATTCAGCTATCGGTCAAGGCTACATGACATGTTAGTTGAATTTCACCTCAAAATAATAGCATTCAGACAATGCTTGGGAAACCCCATAGAATCTAGACCAGAACAAACTAATTACTGCATTTATAGTTTTGGGCAAAATTAACTCTTGATATAGCTGATATATGTGTTTGGTTTCCTCATTTGGGCGTTAAAATCTGAATCGCCATGTATGCATGCATATATACAACACCCTTCATAAATAACCCAGCAAATCACTCAGCTTCCTCATTCCTTAATATATGCTATAATAAATTATCTCTTGTTGGCGAAGGGACTCTTACATATTATTCAAGAGGTATGAGTTCAAGTCTCTAAAACTCTTACCTGAGTTCAAGTCTCTAAAACTCCTACCTAACTAATAATTCGAAGGAAATTATTTGAGATAGACATAAACTAATTCAGACTCTCTGCATCATTAAAAAAAAGAAAAAATATCTGCTACAACATATCTCTTGCAAATAATTAATAACAGCTATCAAAGCTCAGTGAAATGGTGTTGTTGGATTAATTAAACTCCATAAAGTCGCTTCAGGTATGCTTCCTGTTTCCATTAAAAATTTATCGTTAAACAACAATTATCTAACTGAAAGCTAGCTACCATATCTCCATTATTTTGCACTTCGATCATATATATATACCAAGGCGGCAAGGCTTTGTTTATTGCAGCAATGACGCCGTTGTGTTTGACAGTGATCAGAATAACCAATTATCTGTGATCAACTTTTTCTCAATTCAGTGTCTGGGTCAATCTGATCCACCAGACTCTCATTATCGTTGACATCATAAGCCAAATATTGAAGAAACCATAGTTATAATATAAACATCTAGACCATGAAAATGTCAAATTTCAGAACTCCTATACATACGTTATCATAGTTTAAGGAACAAAAAACCTAAACACAAAAACATCTAACACGTAAAACAAATATCAAAAACAAAGTAGTATAGACATACTAATATTCTGTCTATATTAAGCACAAGAAATAGCAATATTAGAAGTAGCTGTAAATCTCTCAGAAGCGCCTGTTCTCCTTGTCAAAGAATTAATCTCTGGCGAGAGCCCACCAAAATCAATCTCTGGTACTTCCGGGATCGTTGTAAGAGCTCCAGTCTTATCATAATAAACGTTATATTCATCACTCGAACGTTGCCGGATCTTTAACATGGCACTAGAACTTTGCTTAGACTTGAACACCGATTTGAGCAGCTTCTGAAGAGACCGAGAAATCCTCGAAGAAGAAGAAGAAGGTTTTTTGGTTGGTGGTGGTGGTGGAAGGGGAGCTCTATGATCGGGTAAATAAGACATTGATAGACTTCTTGAAACGAGAGCAGAGTCAAGTTGACGCTTGAAAGAGTTCAACTCAAAAGAGTCATAAAGTGAACTGCCACAGTCCCAAACCACTGGCTTCTTGGCTTCCTGGTGGAGGTGGTTAACTTGAAGCTTCTCCAATTTGGGATGTTGAAGCTTTTCCATGTTTTTTTTCCGGTTTAAGCAAAGAAAAAAACAGAGAGAGATGGGGTTATAAGGAGAAAGATTTCTCGAGAGTCGAGAGGCGCAATAAAGTCTTTGATTTTGTAATGTTTGGTGTACAATCATACGCGTTAGTTAGGACCTGGATGGGTCAAAATTTAATGTGATCACGGCCTCTTCTCAGGGACCATAAATTCTCCATATCCGTGTAATGAGCGTTCAATACCTCAAAGTCTCCATTTAATAAGAGATGGTTGGAGATTTAGACCTTTTATTATTAATTAATTAATTAATTACATTAGGTAATTATATTTTATCTTATTTTAAAAACACCAATTAATCGCATGTGCTGATGCAACCAAATATATGAAAGGAATAGCTAATTTTACACGCGGACTGCACAATCATGCATGTCATATATTTCTTTGTTAGTGATAATAATATTAATTTGATTTAGTCAAAGTTAGAGAATGATGGGCGGATTGGGGTGGCCCAATTATTTAATAGTCATTATATAATACAGAAAATTTTTTTTTTTTTTTTTTTTGGGTAATCGAGATGATCAAACACTCTATAAATATAAATATAAAGAACCAAATAAATCATAATATAAAAAATAATTCTATGTTTTAAATCCAAAAACTCATTAGAGAGAGCAAACCTACTGTCAAGCCAAGCCGTTGGAGTTATACAGTATATATGCTTGTTGAAGAAAAAGGAACGTTAATATGAGGAAATACGTTTCCGTATTATTTAAAAGGATCCAACATGTGTACAGTACAGCGTACAAGCTGATTACTCCATTGCTCTCTGAGTCAGAGCCCATTACGCGGATTAAACAGTTGTTTTTGTCCATAAATTTTTCTCTTGCGTGGCCCTCCCTTGTCCTTGATATAAGCGAACTGCTTTTGACCAAATCTTCTTAACAAAATGGATTGAATAGTGAATTATCTTGCACCCCAAAAACATGGACGATAAACCATTAACATTATTATAATGCTAAGATCAGAGCTTTAACTGGATCCAAGCAGGGTTGAAAAGCTCAGAAAACAAGAAAAATAGAACCAAATGAGCTCTAAAACAAATGGCATTGCTCGATCTTATTCAGAAGAGATTAGGATTCGAGTCAATGTTAGTTACAATGTGTACACAAAGGGTTTTAGCATGTGGAGTAGTTGACCAATGAATTCCTTGATCTGCATTAGTTCAGAGTGCAAGCCGTGTGAAGACGTGCAAAGAGTGATGAGCTTGAAGCCATGATCACATTTTCGTTTGTTCTCTACTTAAAACCGCACTGGCCATCAATTATTTCAACTAAGGGTAAGAGAGAAATCATCCTCATCAAATTTTTACCTACCATTATTCGTTTGCAGGAGGGCGCGTGGTGAGAAAAGGTTAAAACAATAGGCAAAACTTAATTCGGTATTCTTAACGAACCCTTTATAATAGTTGCACACATACAAGTGACGCTAATGTCACTTATAAAGCTAAAATTTTATATTTCGCACAGCCAAAGCAAAGCATTTATTATCAGAAAATTAAGCAAAGCCACGTTAAATGTATTACATCGGTTCTTCCATATTTGCGCCACATTGGCAAGTGATTTAGTAGAGACCCTTCTTGGCCCAGAACAGTTGCAGCAGCATCCTTAAGTTCTCTCATCTTATTCCTTAACGATTTTCCTCTTTCTCTTTAATTAGCCCCCTGCATACTTCGCTATATTCTTTCCCAACTAATCCATTTTCTTCATTTTGACCCTCATTGCCACTTTCAGATCTCTGTGAGGAGTACCGCATTCATCTTTTGTTCTGATAGAGTGGCCATGCAATTATGGGCACGCCATGGACAATGCTCTCTAGGGTTGAGTTCCACCCACAATGACTCAAAGATCCTCCGGTTGAAACATGGCTCAGTACTTGAACCTGAGGAGCCCAGATGGAACACTAGACACTCCCTTTGGTCTATCCAAGAACCCCTTTGGTAAGAAATAAAAGGGTCCTCAATTCTTGGACACTAAAATATGTAGCATTAGCAGCTTTCTCATGTGGACCTCTAACACCCAGAGAAATCTTTGGCCACTCATTTCAAGTCCTGAGGCCATTCATTTAATTGCTCTTGTGATAAAGTCCCGCCACTCCCAAAACAAACAAACAGTACTGACCCACTCGGCTGCTCATCTAGCCATTCAAACAACCTGAATTTTCATGTTCGGCCTCAATGATTAAAGCATTCTGTATCAGCGGTCCAACCGGTAAACCGAGGACTAAAACCTGATCCATCCTCCATCAAAGCCAAAGGCCCTGGTTCCAAATCCATAAAGCTGTTGACCATAAACCAGCGGCCAAAGGGTACGTTTAGCTATGCCCACAATCCATTGTAGCTCATTTTTTTATCTTGAACCGGGTCCGCGAGATCACGCGTGTATTGGGACACAACCAGGAAATTGGACGGGTTAGGCAAGTCCTAATCGCAACGAACTTCTCATCAAGTTCAGGCAAATGAAGGACCAAGACAGTACCATGGCTTTGTAGGGAAAAAGAGAAGGGCAAAATACCGAATTCTTTGGCCACTCAGCGCATCCGCCAAAGAGATCAGCAACTAGCGCAACAAACTTCGTTGACTCAGTTAAGACCTTGAGGTCTCTCGTAGGCCGAGAGGGAGCGACCAAGTGAGTGTGATCCGAGTTTCGATTTACGTCCTCAGAAGGTCTCAAAGCTCGCAGAGGAAGAAAGATTGAGAAACAGAGTTGGGTAGAGCTGAAGAACCGTTCTTGGGGTTTCATGGGTGAGCCTCAGTAGGAATAATGAAAGTGACAAGAAAGTGTGGAAGAGCAAGTCGCTTAGCCAATTCAACAAGAGGGATATAGTGACCATCCCTGGAGTAGGCACTATGGCTAGGGGGTGTGTTGTTGTGTGTGTTGCTGCGTCTCCATGGCAGTTTGTTATGTTGTAGTGAGATGTGAAGAAAATGGGGTATAATTTGGAAGATATATAGAGGAAAACAGAAAGAAGTGGGATTATAGTAAGTCAAGCGAGGACGACTTACATTAGAGTTTAGTAATAGTTTATTCATAAAGAGTACCAGAACAAAGACATCATCCAATCCAAATTAAGGAGAAGACTTATGCAGGACTTAAAGAGCAAGTGCAGAACCTGGTGATACACATGGTTGCCAACCAAAGCTGCCGTAAGCAAAGTGTAAAAAAAAAAATATAATATAGATAGAAAAAAATACTAATAGAATATATATATATATATATATAATATATATTATATATTTATGAGGGGGAAGAAACTGTGCAGTTCTTACTTCATGGTCATGCCCGTGTATTCAAACTTTATACAGTTTATGCCACCTTCAAATTTTTTTCTTTCTATAATTTTGTACTTATAAATAAGATTGTTCTTAAGGTTTCCAATATTCTGAAGAAGTACCTCTCACAACTGTTGAAGAGATCATACATTCATACTAGAATAATATCAATAAGGCAGTGTTATTAGACCGATATCAAAACTGAAACTTACTATTAATGATACTGTAAGTTCATTAAGTAAAATCTAATAGTTGATACCTATCCTAATAGCAATATATATCCATTGCACAATTTAGGCCATGGTCACTTGCTTAAATTGAGGGTAGGGATTCGAACCTGAAAAATATATATCCATTTTGCACAGTTTTGGGCCATATAACATGGGACGTACACCTAACTACACTTTCAACGCTCTCCCACCATTGAGCTATCCAGCAGATCCCATTTGCACAATAGAAAAGAGGAAATGAAAAGTTATGCGTGGGCCTCGTGGCATCTATTTTACTTGTAATGTGCATTGCGCAGCATTGCAACACGCAGAACTTCTGTAAAATCAAGAAGAAATTTCTCCGAGTGTGAATGTGTGATCTCCATCGAATGACTTTCGCTCTATAGGTTCCCAGAGACAAACAATTAAAAGGAAAGATTAGAAAAACAAATTATATAAAGCTTTAGGCCTACATGTGTTTCCTAAGGAAAACTATGATTAATTCCAACACACTTTTATAGATTTATGCTGAGGCCCATCATGAACTTACCATACTAAGCACATGGGTAACCAACTAATCCCAATTTTGATTATTTAAAATTTCATAGTAAATGAATTTGTAATACTAAGGCAGCAAGATTCAAGTTCTAACACCTTGGGTGGCCAAGTGGTTGAAAGAACTTTGGGACCCTGAGTTCGATTCACCTTGTTGCTAATAGGGTGACCATTAAAGGTTTACCGTTGTAACTTCAGGATCGTATTAGTTGAGATGCATACAACTGTCCGAACACTCCGTCACCCCAAAAAAAAGATTCAGTTCCTCATTCATAATCTGTTCTGCAAAGTAGGAATTTTTTTTAATTAACAGCTGCATCACTTTCCAGAAATGATGGCACTGGATTGTAACTTCGTGGAATAATTTGAACTTGAACTAGGCTTCTTATTGGTATAAAATTCAGATTATTTTTGTACTCCATACGAGTTCTTTCGCATATATCATATCTTTAAAACCAAGGAAAAAATTAAGTAGAAGCTCACTAAGTATCTCATTCAGCATAAATTTCAGATCTAGAACTATTTGGGGTTGAAGCCTTGTAGTAAAGTTTATCTGAAAGGTAGCTGGCCTTCGATGTGAGAATAGATTAACCAGCTTTGGCTACTTGTAGATGTCCACCACGTTTGCTAATGACACGGTGATCAATCGTACCCATTGGAAATGAAATGACCAAGGACAAGGAGTTGGTGGCGAGTATATAATCATATCCAATTCCAGTTACTTTGCTTTGCGAATGCAAATGTCCCTGTATTTTGTACATGGATTAAATGCTGCTGGCCCAAGTTTTCTTTTAAAGCCTCGTGAAGTCCAGTTTCTTAGTCTCGTTTTAATTAGTCTGGGTTACAAAATGCATCTTTATCTATCGCATCCAAAGAAAGAGATGCCATTAAAAACGAAGGCCTTTTTGTTTTGGCGATATGGCAATTGGGTTCAGGGCTTATCCACAATCCATCGAATTTTTGTTAACTATCTTAGTTTCAGTGCTGGCCTAAACTGTTCATGGTTGTGGCTAACAGAGGGAGAACGATTTACACCTACCCAAGATTTATCGTAACGACAAGTTGATACCCAAAAGTTTGAAATGACAAATAGGTACTTCCGTCATGTTGTTAGTGATTTCTGTTTTATAC